GAAGTTCTGCTAGCAAGTCGCTTCCCATAGCTAACCAAACTCAAACACAAGGAAGTCCTGCTTGCAAGTCGCTTCCCATAGCTAACCAAACTCAAACACAAGGAAGTTCTGCTTATAAGTCGCGTCCCATAGCTAACCAAACTCAAACACAAGGAAGTCCTGCTCCGGCATCGGCCGACTGCCCGATGGGGTCCATCCCAAGCGTTTCCACGATGACTTCGGCCATGTCCCTGGCGAAGCCCAACCCCGTCAATTTTGCCAGCTTTTGACGCTTCTGCAGAAGGTTAACACCATTGGGAATAGAACAGGCATGGAACGCGACTTGGTGTAAATGTGAGAAACGTGCACCATTGGTGCCAGTTCTTCAGTCAGACGCAGTCCAACCCCGTTCTTACCTTGTCCGGCCCATGCACATCCACACCCAGGGCACCATCGGATGCCATTCTGGAAGAGATAACAAACGGTCGTCGGGCTGTTACTAGCTTGCGCTTAAGAAGGTGGGCGTCTTCCAAGACGAAGTTTGGGACACTTTGAATAAGACCCGAACGTAATCTGTATGCAATCTGCAGACCCTACTGGGGGACAAGTCCGCAGGAGGCGTATCAACATGCAAGACGTTATCAACAGCAAGCCGGTTTGGGGGTCCAAGTACAGCCTGTCACGCTGACTAGTTGGACAAGGCTGTATGCTCTTCTGCGTGAAGGCATAGTGATTTCACCAGGAGAGCAGCAAGAATGAAGTCGCCACTGCGACCCCAGTTGTACGACAGCACCACAGAACCAGCCTTAGAAGATCCGGTCGCTTCGCTCCGTCGCATCTAAGCCAACAAAACGTTATCAACAGCAAGCCGCTTTGGGGGTCCTGGCTCAAAGTGAGGCCCACCCTGGAGTTAGTTGTTAAGCTTTCATGTTACTTCCTCATACAAACTGCTTCTCTAGTACTGTGATGTTTTATTGGTTATATTCATGCAAACTGAGCTGAAGTTGCAAGGCGCGAAGATGCTGGCCGCATCATGCCGCACCGCATTCCCAAGCCAGTATGCACAACTCTGAGAAAGTTTGCAGTCTTTATTATTTTGTTGTGGCACAACTCCACGTAACTCTGCACATTATAGTGCATAGGAGCAATTCTTGCGCAGAAGTCCAAGTCGACTCAAAAGCATTCCAATTGGACTGTCTGGCTTGATGTAATGTTATCAGGTTGTTTATCGTAGCGCTTTGGCGCACCCAACGTGGGATGTTGGCGCCGGAATGTGCAGCTGAACTCCTGCGCTATGAACCTGAACCAATGGTGCACGTTCCCAGCCATGGACATTTTGACAGAACACCCTTGTACGTTCTGCCATTCTAACCACAGCATTATAATTTGTTGCTGTGGCCGTCCTTCGAACATAACAGTCCTTCCCCCCTTAGGACGCGCGATTTGCAATAGCAGCCAGTGTGCAATTAGATACGTAGACCTCTGTGATGCGAGTTCTTCCTCAGTCGAGATCCGCTTCAACGAGCGTTTGTCGCTTCAGTCTGCTTCGGAACGAACACAGCCGGGCGGAATTTGACGCTAGAGGAAATAAGCCATAGAGCAAGAGAAAAATATCTCGCGGAAATAGAAAATAACCCTGGTCATTCCCCTGATTTACGCCTAAAGAGAAAGCCGATATTACAGCACCTGTGTAAACATAAGGAGTAGGTTTGTAGCTGGCAAGGGATGGGGATGGGACCCTGGCTGACAGCTTTCGGATCTGAACACAGCTGCAGGATGGGGATGGCCCTGGTCGAAGGGATTGGGAAGGGACCCTGGCTGGCAGGATGAGGATTGGGGGAACACAGCTGCAGGATGGGATTGGAAACCCTGGCCATAGGATTGGGGATGGGACCCAGGCTGGCAGGATGGATGGGATTAGCACCGGGCCCCTAAGATGGGAGATGGGAGTCGGTCACCCCAGCCAGGATGGGGGGATGGCTGACCACTACCACCCCCCGGGATTGGGGGATTAGACCGTTTTTGCAACCCTCTGGCTACACAGCCCTGGCTCGAAGAACTGAGTGCGGCTCTGTGCGGCATTGTAAGCAAAAGGCACGTAAGGAATGTAGTAACGTGCAAGTCCGTGTTGTCGCATTGAGGACCTCCGTCGTGCGTAACTCGTTTGGCTCCGTCGTGATCGCAACACGGTAACGCAATGAGCGTCTGCTGGTTATTGCAACCATGAGTTTGTGCTTCATGTCCGGCCTTCGAGGTCTTATTCAACGAATTTAATTCCATCTGCGACTATAAATAAATAAAAGATAAAGAAATGTTTGGGGAAAAGTGCTTGCGTCTCCTCCGAAATAAACATTATTAGACACCATCAGGATTCGATCATGGGTTATGGCCTATTGGATTCGGAGGCCAAAAGTATGGGCATATGGGGAGCAGGTGGGTTTAAGGGCTCGTGTTCGGATAAACCTGTTCATTCGGCCCATGTTCAAAGGGAACATTAGTGAATATATAGAGTGTATTTATGGGGATCATCGTACGTTACAAACGGTATATCTGCGAGCAACGAAATTAGTCTTCCTTCGGTAGGCAGGCTGGGTGGAGGCCAGCTACCGTGAAACTCCAATAATCTCGAGGGGAGAGTCAGAATCCCCCAAAAAGCTACCACTAGTGCTGCAGCACGAGCTGTCGACTCTTACTGCCTTGCCGCATGCTTGGCTTACTTTGGCGGGTTTGTGCACTCCTTCACGAAATGGCCCATGTTACCGCAGCGATGGCATGGGCCCTTGTGTGCAGCCCCCCTGGCTGCCACCTGCTGCGCCGGGGCCATCCCTTGCATCAGCTGCCCCTTCACGGCCGCTTTCGCCGCCATGTTAAACTCTGCAGCAGCTTTGACAGCCTGGCGTTCCTCCTCAGTTGCCGTGTAGGGCATTCCTTGCAGCTGGTCCACCACGTCCCAGCCACGGTTGTGCTCAATGACCAACTCCTTCGCCTGATTTCCAAATGCTTTTTGCGGCGTGTCTAGATACGTCTCCATCGCCATCAGGCTTCCTCCTTCGAGGATGGGTGGCCGTCGACTAGGCCACACCAAGCGGCTTCAACTTCAGCGGCCGCTTCATGCAGGCGAACCATCCGTTGTCTCTGACCATTTAATGACCTGTTGCCCTTGCCATCGGAAGCTATAGTCGCAGTTGAAGTCCGGCCATGGCCGTCGTGTCTTCTTTGCCGGAAGCTCAATTGCGTCACGTTGCTCTTCCTGCTGCTCTTGCTGCACTAGGAGGGAATACAGCCGCACGGCTGCACTCCTAGCCTCCTAGTACTGCATGTACGCCCCCTTCAGCTGTCCGGTCAAATGGCACCAGGGGCCGCCTGTAGCTTCGCCAGTGAAAAGGGGGACATGTCGCCCTTTGTTCGAACTCCGTGAATATGAAGGGCTACATGGCCACTGACCACGAGTGTCGTACCGTTCTGTCGCGATTGGCTTTGTTTAACCCTTACATGGCTGTAGGGCTCGACAGGTGGACCCCAGCTCGGCAGTGGTGTCGCTGGGCGATACCCGCGCCTTCATTTTTCGAGCTATCAATCACCACAGCACGAGGTATTC